CTACGGATCCATCTGGTGGTGATGCTGTCTAACCCACATTTTTCTATCTTATCAAGTAGTAGGTTGTGATCTACTTTGTCAAATGCCTTACTGAAGTCCAAGTAAATTATATCCACAGCATTCCTCTGGTCCACTAATTTTGTCACTTGGTCAAAGAATGCAATAAGGTTTGTCTGGCATGATCTGTTTTTGACAAACCCTTGTTGGCTTTTAGTAATGACTTGGTTTGCCTGTAAGTGCTCGCTGATTCGTTGTTTGATTATCTTTTCCAGAATCTTCCCAGGTATTGAGGTCAGGCTGATAGGTCTGTAATTTCCAGGATCCAATTTTTTCCCTTTTTTGAAGATGGGTACTACATCACCTCTTTTCCATTCCTCTGGTAGTTCCCCAGTGCTCCAGGATCTATGCAGCTGCTTTTATTTTCTTGGTGATTTTCTTTTTTGTTGTTTTGTCTCATTGGATAGATGAAATAAAAGAAAGGTGGGTTACTAATGAGAAATTGTGTAATTTCTGGATACACCACTCCAGAATTCCATAAAGAGACAAAGTAATACAGCTTCATCAGAAAGTACCCAAATTCTACAAACTATTTGCACCAATGTTTCCTTGTAATGAAGTAGAATAGCAACATATAGGACTATACTCCATAAACGTTATCATGAAAAAGCAATAGCCTTACTATTTCAAGTTATTAGAAAATGCATTCCAGAAGCAAAGGAATAACCCTCCATTTTACATTACTTTAAATGTAATAAGTGCAGTTGAGGATAAACTTTCAAAAGAAAATAGCACAAGGAAAATACTACTATATTTCTTCCTTTCTATAGTAATAATACAGGTAGTCCCGAGTTACAAATGTAATGGAGCCTGCCCGTTCCATTCGTAACTCGAGAATTCATAGGAGTGAATCTTGTGCCTTGAACAAGATCACTCCCTGCTCGTTAACATGAGCGAGGCTTGTTAAGTGAACATGAGGTATCTCAGTGTGGGGATGGCCATGGTGGGGCCTAGTGATGGAACAGGCCCCCAAGGCCTCAAGACCCACTAAGATACCTCATGCTTCCCCCTCCCTTCCTGCCGTGCCGGACTCACTTATCTTGAAAAGATCCATCTCCTCTCTACTGCGGTTTCTGCGTTTGAGGGAGAATTGATGGCAGTTCCTGGGTGTCCATAATATCACGCCAAGTACAGGCTCCCATCCTCTTTTGCAGAGAATGGGATCCTGAACTCTCATGGTGTTTGTGGTGCCTATCTCCTGCTCCCACCCCCAACTCCTTTCCACCACTGCCGGAACAATTTTCACCAGGACGGAGACCTTGGGGAGACTGGAAGCTCCATCTACATGCAAATGCATCCTTAAAAACGGAACGAAACGCTCCTTTCTCAAGCACCCAACTGGCAGCCACATGGAGCTTCCAGACTCTGTCAGGTCTCTGTCTGGGTAAAAAGAGTTTGAGTGAATATAGGGTGTTTGGAAATGAAGCATTCGCTTTGTTTTCAAATGCACCATAGGTGCTGAAACACTTTTTATCCGAACGGTGACCTGACGGACGTCTGCAAGCTCCGCGTGGCTGCCAGTGCATGCTTAGAAACAGAGCAGAAGACTCTGTTTCTCAAGCACACCATTCCAGGCATATGGAGCTTGTCAGGACTCCGTTTGGATAAAAAGTGTTTCAGCGCCTATGGCAGTGGTGGCGAACCTATGGCACGGGTGCCAGAGGCGGCACTCAGAGCCCTCTCTGTGGGCACGCGCATCATCGCCCCTGTCCTAGGCCTTCAGCTGGGTTTTATAAAACCTTTTCACTTTAGGTCTCTGCTGCCGTGTACAAAAAAAAAGGTTCAATCAATCAGTCAATTTCAACTTCT